ATACGGCAAAAAAGTCTATTGATCGGCAGTTGACTTATGATTCCAAACTCCTATGGCCCGACTATTTGTCATAATTTGACCCCTTCCACAGTACCCATCTTACCTTTTTTATGCCTTTGTGTCTGTCTGCCTCTTTTACATCTTTGAAACACTCTTCTGTTCTTCCCCCCCCCCTCGACTTTTTGTCACTTTGATGTTCCTTCTCCTCTCTGTGAAGCCCCGAAGTCAGCTCCAGGGCTAATGATAACTATCAAAACGCCTGCCATTTGATATAAATAAACTTTTACTAAGGTATTGAACTTCCTGAAGGCTATCAGGATACATTAGGATTCTCTAACTGAGAAAGGGGGGGGGAGAGGTCTAGCTTGAGTGTATTTCTGAGAGTATTTAAACTGCACACAGAACATCTAAACCACCTTATTTGAAAAAATAGGGATTAAGGACAGTACATATTTCAGTAGATAGAGGAATCAAGGCAATATCGGGGTCCACATAGCATTAAACAACTAAAATTTCATTAAATATCAAGGTTAGGCATTAACTGACAATACACTACCTGTTCAGCCAGAAATCGCCACTTTTTTTCGGGCCGGATACATTCGAATGTTTCTCCCAGGAGGGGACTGAAAGGTTTGATTGCTTTTCGTTGGGCTTTGCTTGTGAAGGTGGTTATGATGAATGTGGCCACATACAGCTGCCAGGAAAACATAATGCACAAATTTTGTGTTAAAACAGATGTAAGTTAAGTGGGTAGAGTGTAAATGTGCATAAGGTGGACTAACCATTCTTTGTGTTTGGTCTTTCATTTCTGAAGCGAGGTCTAAGAGGTTACTGTATTCCATTTCTTCGCAAAGATTCTAGAAATCAATATGAAATAAGTTGAATCAATAAGATATCAGATGCTCTTTTCATCATACTATTGTTAACAATGAGCACACTTGACCCACACTCAATCGATCTCAACCAAGCCGTTTGTTCCCTGTTCCCCGCATGTTGGCTTGTAACTTGCAATACTTTCAATTGGCCTTATTATAGCAACTATCTGAGTTTAGAGAAAAGCACTTTATTACCTCAAATCCTACGGATACAGGACCTTGTTTCCATTGGTTACTCTTCAAAGTAATGTGTTTACTCCCCCCCCCCTCACCCCCTCACGTTACGTCATATTTCCGCTTTATTGAATGCTTTTTTCCAGAGATGTTTTTATTCCGGTTGTTTGAATCTCTCAATCTAAATTTAGATGACAAAATGAAATAACAAACTGCAAGTAAGCATGCTAAGTAGTTATGGTAATAATCACTCAGAGAAAATAAATTCCTGAAGCAGAAACAGCTGAGGATACTGCAGCTATAAACACGCGAGTTGAGGAAATCATCTAAACCGCCATTACATTTTGTTTCACTTCAGTAAAAGACATGCATTTTTAATGCAACTCCCTAAGCCCATTAGGAGAAGCTTTGCAGCACTTAACTTGAATGGAGGAGGGTTGTCCTGGGGTCGCTCTTTTAAAGAGTGTACGTTAATCAGAACGATGGGGTTGTCACACCCCTGGAAGTACACCAATAAGAATTGACCTCTTGACCCCCCAACTTATCAGACGTACTCATTGATTCATTTATCACTTTCTTTTCAATCTTTCTTTCCACTTCTCTGGCCATTAAGATGTATTCAATGTTTTGCTTACTTGCAGAACACTCAGCGGCTCATTGACAATTGCAGGTAGCCTGGGTTTGGACATTTCTCGACCGATATTGCTAGATTAAAAGAAACTCAATTAGTGGGGCAGTAATTGTAATAGCCTTCGTGTAATATAAAGTTAATGTATCGCTCACTTTTTTATTATTGCAAGCAAACTGATCGTGGTTGGTACCGTTTGCTGTGCGGGCAAGGTGGTTCTTCTTCCAGCAACATGTTCAGGCGTCCTCAACGCAACTCCCTTCATATCCAGAACGTTCATGTCTGATTCATCTGCTTTATGCAAATGCTTAATTGACTTACGTAATTAGCGCATGTAATTATACATTGACTGCATCCAACTTACTCAACACGGGCATATCGTCGGAATTAGAATCCTCTGAGTTTTCAACTCCCGACATTTCCAGCTCTAAATCAGTTTCTAATCGAATATTCGAGGAACGTCCTGGCTAAAAAAGGAAGGAGATAAGCTATCTATTTATTAAAATTAATTTTACAAAGAATGCGATTGACATAAGTACTTCTCAAGGAAAAAGTACACTCTGAAATGACGTTTTGGCGCAGTTTGATTGGACAAATGCCTAAAGTCTAACTAATACAAGTATTTTAATGGGAAAATTAATTGAGAGACTATGCGCTTTCCTTGTTAAGAGCTTACAACACTAAACAGGAGGTCTTAGTGAAATCAATATATCTCAGGGCGTCTTTACCTTAATTTAACCGACCTTTTACGGGCCTCTGTTAAGTTAAAATTTTACCTCATCCCTGTTAATTTAAAACTGTAAGATACGGGTTTTGTTAATTCCATAAATAATTTGCCTTCCTTCACAGCTATTAAAAATAAATGACGTGAAGTTGCATGACCACCTCTTCGTGAAGATGCAGTGCGGGTCAAAAGCCCAGAATATTGAGCCACAATCCAGAGCTCTATTATTAGTGAAACTGGCATTTTTGAACGCGAACTGCCCATTAGTAAGCCCTGTCAGATGTCCAAATATCAAACGAAACAAGATGTCGGGATACCCTGATGACACTTCCTGCACTTCTTCGGTGTAATTTGCTTTGCAAAAGGTAAAATGCAAATTTATTTTTTTTGTAATTTTGTGTGGAGTAAATATAAGAAAATCTGTATTCTAACCCTCTAACACCCTTAGGACCGTAGAGTTCTCTTTCAAAATAGGCTCCGTTGGTATTAAACTCGTGACAGAAGGCGCTATTGCCGTTTAAAGCTTGTTCAAAACGTACCTTCGCCTGATACCACCACTACCCATCACGTCGGCAGTATCAATCTGCTGCGAGACTCACATGATGGGAGCATTTTTCAAAAAATACTTTGGGTGTTAAATGGTTAAATCATCATCAACTTGACCATCCTTCTCCCTCCCCCTCTCCCCCCATCTATGCCATTTTGAAATGTGCTTAGTTTTCTACTCAACTGCACCTTACTCGAAGAGAGCATAAAGTGCCTTGATCGTGATGCTTCGCAATCAAAACATGATCTCACGTTTATTCTGTGAGTGGAAATAGCATCAAGTTTGTTGACCTTGTCCACAAAAGTTTTCCAGTTCGGCAATATCAGCTCATCATTTAAATACCTCATGGCATACATACCAAGGACGAAGAGCGGCGTGTTTTAGTATCACACAAGATTACTACTCTAGCAACAACCTCACTCTAGAGTGGTAGATCCTATCTTTCAGTTCGCTGAAGTGATAGAGTGTTTAGTTAAGAGGGAAACCTGATTGTGTTATCGATATATGAGAATGCGTACACGCAAATAGACTTAATGGTAAATGCTTGAAAGATTAATATTAAATCTATAAGTAAGACTTCACTATACTACTAATTTTAGCTAGGCAATTGAAAACAGAAGTAGGCGCAAACAATATGTCAATAGAGATTTCAACAAATGTCTATAAACGGGATACCAGCTTGGAGTACAACTAATCGACACGACAGTAACAATATCGTCAGAATTCCAATTCGAATTTTTTAATTCAAACCAAGATTCTCCACCTCTTAGTTCTCATAATTACGCATTTTTGGTTCATTGATCCATTGCCTAATAATATTTTCTTTGAAAAAAAGCTGAGAGATCCGGGGGTGTTAAAAAACAAGGCTTCAAGAGACCAGCGCCTTAATTAATGTCAAAATGCTCCCATCGCAGTTAAGTGATTTTGTTTCGTAATCGCAAAAAACGTGTTTTCGAATTGATAAGAATAGAAAAAAATGTTTCATCCTTATATATTCTTTCGGTTCATGGCATTAAATTTCTGATTTATTTCTAGTCAGCATCTGCAAATTTTACTTAAAAGAGATATTTTGGTGAAATTAGGATTAAAAATCTCTGAAGTAAAAATTAGTTTTAGTAATCTTTCTTACAATTAGTTTTTAATATACCCTATATGCATATTTGTACATATGACGAGTTTGGAACATTTAATGTGATTAGTAATTCATTTTAGTGATCGGAAGGTTCTTTGGCAATACTTTGTAATTTACCTACCACGTTTTTAAAGAAAGCGAAACCACCAAATATGACCCCCAAAGCGACAAACATTCTAGAATTTTTGTGCAGTGCACTTAACGATATGTAGGGTAGAGGGTGTCAATAAAGTGGAAAATTTAATCTGCTTTGCAAAAAAAGAATATTTTTCTTTCTAGGTTACAATCAAATGACAGTCTGTATGATGGGGAGATAGCAGTGACCTAAGCTTAAGATCACTCAAATTCGTTCACCAAAATCAATAATTGAAGAATCAATAAGAATTATTTGAGAAACAATTCAGATTTAAAACGCTTTCTTTTAAACCAACTTTAATTTTAGGGATAAATAAAGGCTTTAAATGGAAAAAACACACTCGAATAACGAAGGTCCACCATTTTTACCCTGAACTATATCAAACTCATTGCTTTTAAGGCCGAAATTAGCTAATTCCAATGGCCCAAATTCTCCTCTTATTTTGTTTAAAATAAAAATTAAAAGCTTGTAAATGACATCAGAAAATAAGTTGATGATAAGTTTTTATATCAAATTATGAGAAAACTGGCAATATGGGGAAGTAGGATTTTGAAGATAAATATTTTGTCTAATTTGAAATATGATATTAAATATATACATAGCTTGACATTTTACTGTCAATCTAAGGGTTTATTTTCAGAAGTTAATGAGTTTTCCAGATGTGAAACAGGTGGAAAGGTAAGAGTGCTCACTTTAGGATTAGTTGTTAAGGTATGCATTGAATTTTTGTTTGTGGTTATCGCTGAGTTGAGACCTTGATGCGTTTGTTGGACCAATGCAAGGGCTATTAAGAAAAAAACAGAAAACACGGAGAGAGTAAAGTAAAAAGGAAATTACAAAGTGAGATATTGATTTGTCATCTGTCACAGACATGACATTTATATACGCTAAAACCTTGCGATCAGCGATTGTTGGCCTCAATGTCTCTCGTCTGGGGTTTGCGATAGACTTATTTCCGCGTGATGCATCCTGGGTAACATATTCTCATACGGCAAAAAATGTCTATTATTCGGCAGTTGACTTCTGACTTCAAACTACAGTGACCCCATTGGAGGCAATATTCAGCCCTTTCCACAGAACTTATCTTACCTTTTCTCTGTCTTTGTGTCTGTCTATCTGCCTCTTTTTGCCTCTGTGAATCACTCTTCTGTTCCACCCCCCCCCCCCTCGAAATTTCCTCACTTTGATGTTCCTCCTCCCCTCTATGGGGCCCGAAGTCAGCTTAATGGCTAATGAAAACAACCAAACATCCTGCCATTTGAAGTGAATAAATGTCTCTAGTATAATTTAGGTAATTAAGGCTCCATTTCTCTATTTCTGATAGTTTGTTTGGAAGCAATTTCAGATCATGGAGGATGGCTAGAGCTTTGGCCGTGTTTTACCGAACTAGAGTGCTGCTTACAATTCAAAAATATTTCCTGCATTCATTTAGCCTAAAATCCTCATGCTTTATCTGGTATCTCTAAGCCTTCCTTAATTAGACTCTTAAATATCTTAAAAAATTGCATTTAGGCTCCAGAAAATGACTCTTCAATTCAAGTTCCATCCAGGCCACTACCAAAAATTCCTAATTTATTGCCAATAAATATAAAATAGATTCATTTATTAGTTAATTACATACTGGCTCTCGCTTCCTCGATGAACCGTTTCGCCTGGTTGATAAAATTTGCGGCGTTAGAAACGACACCGGTTTCTTTTTTGTTGCTAATGCCATTCATGTGGTTAGGATGTGGATCGGCCACAATTGTTGGCGTCACCTGAACGGCCGTGTACAGGCTAGTCATGGAGGAGATCGAGCTGACACGACTGTGATTTGGTTTGTTGGAGGCAACATCGGAGGGGTTGTAAGGCAGAGGTGATAGGAAAAGACTGCGTGTTGGACTGAAATTATCGATTTCCGTTGCGTCCTAATAAAAGAATCGTTATTTCCAAGGGAGAGGTTGAAAGAGAGAGAGAGAGAGTGAGTTTAACTCACCAATAAAAGACTTTCAGCATTCTGGAGGTCGGCATAAATTGATTCTAATCTCAAAACTTGCTTTCCTATGGCTGAAAAATAAAATAAAGAATGAATTGATTTCTGTCAATGCTGTAATGATCAACCAGAAAGATTGCAGAGATCAAAGTGACTGAGGCAAACAGAGTCCGGTGGAATTGTTAGAAAACTCTACACTCCACATGAGTATATACCAAAATGCAAGTTTCTAATTCAGTTGTCAGCTTAGTCACACCACTACAGTTATTAACTATGTCATCGACGTTTTCTGTAGGCAATATTAATTCCATATTATCATTATTGGGATTAACCAATGGTGTCAAGGAATTAAAGTTTTTAGTTTTTACGCATTTTAGATGCTTTATGTTATTCTCTTTCCCTTAATTAACTAATGTCCGCAATATTGAGAGAAAATGGCAAGCAAATGTGATTGAGTATTTCGCTTTGTCACTTCGAATCGTCTGGCTCTAGCTATAGCCTGGATCATTGGCTTACCGATCTTATTCTCAGACATGGGGTACGCGATAGACTTACCTCCAAGTCGTGTAGCCTGGACAACGTATACTCATACGGCAAAAAAAGTCTGTTAACCGAGAGTTGACTTCTGACTTCAAACTACCATGACCCAACTGTATGTCATTTCCCCCCACTTCCACAATCTGTCGACCTTTTTTAAATCTGTGAATTACTCTTCGGTTACCCTTTCCACTTTTCGTGACCCTGTCTGTTCCTTCCCATTGTGAAGCACGAAGCCCACTAAAGGGCTAATGATAACTAACATAAAGCCTGCCATTTGTTATAAATTGTCAAAAAGGGCTGTGGTGACTGATGTCAATGAACACCAGCAATTGGTTTGCCCATTTTTTAGGACACTAAACTCTTATTGGCTTCTACAAACTTTAACCTTCAGGCCATAATCTAAAGCAGCTACTGCCCAAATCTTCTATTGACAATTCAAGAGACCAAATTCGGGTAGATCATTTTAATTGACGAAATGTGTTATTATTTTTCATTGTTATTACATTGGTAAATAATTTTAGGACATTTTTCTCCCACAAGTATAATGATAATAAGATAGATGGTGCTTAGTTGGAGATAACTGTTATCAGTAACTAGGGCGCTTACACTCTTTCTCGATTACTTCATTTCTCCAATCTGTCTGATTAAGAAAACAGGACCGAATCGATAAGAAAAAGCGAAGTTTAAAACCCGGTAGATAGGTGAATGTGGAAAAGTACTAATCTCTGAGTCCCAGGTGAGCCAATAGTTAGATTACAACGTTAATGTACCAAAACGCGCAGCAAATGCCTGCACGTAGAATAGACCAATAGGGAGGTAAATTTGAAGATCAGTGTGACCATTGGCTCGAGCAGGTCTTATAACCATAGGTTCTTGATTCTATTGGTAGGAGGTTGGTTGTCTGCTATCTCCCATCATTTGCATTCCCCTCTTTTCGTCTTTATTTTCATCTTCTTAGCACTTAAAAACTGTATGCCCCATCATAATTAATCGCCTTATCCCTATGAAGCACCTTAACAAAGATCGATTTTGGCAATTTTAGTGTAAAGCAAATTAAGAGACAAGACAGTCGGCTGATGGATTTGAAGCATCCTTAAGAATGTAAGCTTCCTGAAACTAGCTTCTTAAATGACTCCATTGTTTTCACAAGGAATCTTTCAGTTTCTTTGGAAACGGTTGTCTACATGGCAAAATGCCAAACTCTCTGATTCCTTTCAGTGAAATAGCATTTATTATTGTATCAATGCCCCTACCTTCCATTTGCTCATTCGCTAGCCGTTGCTGCTGCCTCAAGGTCTTCGATCTATCTGGACATTCAGGAGTTGTGGGAAAAGAGGCGCAGCTACTTGTGGACATTACTCCATCTCCACCAACATTGGATGAAGTACTGGAAGTCGGCTTAAAACCACTAGGGCGACCCGTTGAAACGAGTGCACTTTGGAACTGATCATATGCCCGGTGCTCTTTAATTGCTGTCAACCACTTTTGGAATTTGTCTGGATCTTCAAACTAAATTGAACCCCATTGCGTTGAATCGAGCATGATCTTCATTGAAATTTAATATGGAACATTAAGCTTACCTTGAGTTGATAGACAAAAGCTGAAGTGTCAATTATAATCCTCAATTTATCAGCTTCGCACTTTACGTTGGTATTGGCGAGATCAATTCGAGTTATATTCCTTCCACGAGTAAGCTATTTGAAATTAAAACAAGGAAAAACAAATAATAAGTGGAAATCACTTTAATTTTTCTTGTACAAATTGAATGAAAAATTATTTTCTCTGGTCTATTTGACTCCTTAATAATTCTGCGTCAAGGTCACTTTCCATCGATTGTTTTCCAATTAGAAAGATTTTAATATTCAGACAATTTCTGGTGGTAACTATTTATGAAGTAAAAATGAACTCAGCAAATAATGCTACTTGATCTGTAGACACTCCTGAATATTAGTAGAATTCATTAAAAGACTGCAAGTCTGTAAAACTTGGAATTCGAAACTTAACATACTTGGAGTGGGGTCATGGTAGTTTGGAGTCAGAATTCAACTGCCAGTTGACAGACTTTTTGACGTATGAGTATACTTTGCCCAGGGTGTACCACGTAAAGGTAAGTCTATCGCACAACCCCCCCCCCCCCCAATGGAACTTATATGGTCCAGTCATCACTTAAAAGCGCTAGCTTCTGCAACTTTCTTTGTTTAACGAATCGTTCAGGCGTGGCCTGCTTTTGAAGCGACTAATAGCCTTTCACCTTGAATCAAAACTGTTCTTTCTCCCAATCCGAGGGAAGCACGCCAGAGTTGTTCCATCTAACCACCAGCCAAGGCAACCATAGTGGTATTAAATTGAAAATGAAATAAAATGCTAATAATTTGAAATTGGAAATTAAATTACCAAACTGTAGTTCTTCCCATACGAGAGACAACCGTTGCTGAGCGAGAAGAATCGCTGAAGGGGTAAAAGAACGACATTTCACGAACTTAATACTAATATATATTTAATATTTATTCATTAAATATTTTTAAAAGGACAAAATTCAAGGATTGCTAATTATTTGCTAAGACCAACTTGGATATATGTCGTCACGGTGATGAGATTGAACACCCGCTGTCAATATACTACTTTATTTCAGGACCTACAAATACCATCTATCCAGGTAATATTTGAATGTATGGTGACCGAGAGTCCTTGAAGTTCTTTGCTTTCCATTAGACAGTGTGCTTATTGAACATTTATGCGGTTCTGACACTGCTCTATTGGAATCTCAGCTGCGTGGATAGGACATTAAGTTGGTAGAAAGTTGATTTCAAAGACGCAGGTACACAACTGTCGACACCCTGACACCCACCATATTAAGGTGAGTCTAGACAAGGACAGATAACAAAATGAGCACTTCCTGTATTCGTCGGACACTAACTCTTGATTCGCTCCTGTCTGGTAGATAGTCATCTCCCCACCTTTGAGCTTTCTAGTTTTATGAAGTCTGTTTTTACTAACTTTTGTGCCTTTCGGGTAAATCCTTTACCGAACATCATAGCTTAAAAAATTACTCTAAGATGAGGTTAAGATTTAAATTTTCGAAATAAAGAAATATGACTTACTTCATGCCACCCCTTCATGGGTCTTTTCCGATTCTTTGTGATGAAATCTTTCAGTGGTTCAGGTGGTTTTCTGGATGTAGCATCTGGATATTCTGTGGATTCTTGACTGCTATTTGAATGAGTGTGGCTTCGAGAGCTGATGGTGGAAGCTGTTGGGACTGTAAGATGATTCCGTGATAACGATCTCGCGTTCGGTGAACGCTCTAAAAAAATTCACCTTTAGGGTAAGAACGTTCTGTTTAGAGCATCATATATCACCCCCTAATTTCTCCACTTTTCGATCCACAGATTTAGTACTTTTCGAATAAGTACCTTATATTTAAAAGAAAAGCACATATTTTAAACCATATTACATCTTTAAATCACTCTCCTGTTCGCCCTCTCCACCTTTTCTCACTTTGATATTTCTCCCCTCTATGAAGCCCGAAGTCAGCTAAATGGTTAATTATAAGTACCATAAAGCCCGCCATTTGAAATAAATAATTAAATAAATAAAAGAAAGACGCACATTCAAATGATGCAAACTGGGGTGCGCGATAGACTTGCCTCCACGTGGTGCACCCTGGGCAACGTATACTCATACAGCAAAAAGTCCATGAACCGGCAGTTGACTCCTGATTTCAAACTGTCATGACTCCACTCTATCTCATTTGGGCTAATGATAAATATCATAAAGTCTTCCATTTGAAATAATAATAATGATGTTCTATTCGGAGACTTTCGTAAATATATAAGGCATTGTTTTCTTGAATAAATAACTGACAATTAGGTCAAATTATGTTGTTTCCCAGTTGAAGCAGTCTGTCAATGCATTGGGATTACAAAGGGATAGAAATTGGCCACAAAGTTTGAAAGCTTTAGAATAGGCGCCAAATGTTTGAACCATGTAAAATTTCATTATATGAGTTCAGGATATTATTACGTGACAAAGTGAGAGATTTCTTTGAGTTAGGCATAAAAAATTTCCTAAATTGCATCAGTTAATACCTGAACACGCTGATTCAAAGACAAGTGCGCAGAGTTACATTAGTACATAATTCATTGAAATTATATTAAAGGTTCTTTAGATATCTAAATAAGATTGGAAAGGCGAAATCATTGATTGCATGATCTATCAAAAATATTGAACACTAGAAATGTATAATTTGTTAGGTGCAAAACCTACCTCCCCACCCCACTTCAAAAGTTCAAAGCATCTACTGATTAATCAGAAGACATATCAGGATGGTAAAAAGCCAACAGCCTTCCTTAGTGATAAAATCCATCAAGGGCATTCAATTAAACCTTACCTGAGTACGACCGTCCCGTGCTCAAATCATCTAACTGGTGGTTTTTCCTTGAACGGAGTAGGGCCCTCCGATCTTCACTCGTAAGCTCCCCTTCAGTAGAACGAAGATCATGAATGGAATGGGAGAGAGGTACCTTCTCTACTAACAAGGAAGCACTGCAGTTGGATGAGGAGTCCAATTTAGAGCCTTCTGGTTTACTTGTGTCTGCCTGTTCAAAAGCACGTTGGACTTGAAGTTAATCTTTTCATTGTTCAAAGCGAAATTACGTCATTTGAATGAGCCAAGTGGAAGCGTTAGAAATGAGCAAACGTTCTACGACACCTTGTCAATTACACTTGATTTAAACTTTTAGCATCCACATCAGTGAGTAATAGCAGATGTTTTTCAGGTCAAATTCAAATAGATATAAGTTTTGGCCATTTGATCATTCTACCAATGCTTCCACCATTTCATGAATTCACAGTTTACTTCAAGTAAGTTCCTCGCTTTACTAGATTTAAAAAAGTGTTAAAATTATGCACCAAAGATGTTTTCTCTATTAAGGCCTTATAAACCTCCCATAAAACGCTAAATCCTGAACTCCAAAGTAATATGATGTTAACGTACTTTTAAGCATTACTTAAAATTGTGCAACTCTAAAAACATTTCTATTTAGTTCATTTTAACAAATAATTGACGTAATTATTAATTAACAAAACAATTATAGTATGGTATTTTTGGATTAATTTGTCCATTTTAAGTCAACACCTCCCGGAACTAGTGGGCTTCGGAAACGAGAATGGAATTGACCCAGTAAATGCGCAACAAACGTCCTCATATTGGGTGGAAGATAGCTGAGTGGGTGACATTTATGGATAGAATAACTTTTGGCACACCATGATTGACGCTTATCTGGCGGAGACTTGTGGTTATGCTGCAGGTTCTTGCAGATTTAAGACCTCTGACAATTTCGAATGTGAATACACCATGACAAGATATGGAATCCATTGATTAAGTAAAGCAATACTGAGATCAACGTAGTACTAATGAACCTTAGCTTGATAGTACATGAAGGAAAGATGACTCACTTCCAAATTTTGTGTAACTACTTTTGATAAAATTACAATTGAGTAAGGAATATTTTTATCAAAAGCGATTTTTTCGTGTTCTCTACATTTATCAACCTCCAATGCCAAGGTGATTTGTGAGGTGGATAACGAAAGCAGTTGCATTGGTCGAGACAATATAATCACCGGATCAGGCATAACGATTCGTGAGTTGTGGAAGAGGTGGAAAAAAGTGCACAAGTGTTCTTTATTGTTTTTTTTTCTAGTACCCCGACAAATAGGTTCCTATTGCATCATAGGCTAGAGTATAAGTAGTTAATATCTTGTCAAAAAAGTAGGATATTCTCCAAAAATCTTTGTTGAGCATTTCTCATAATATTTTGCGACGAAATGAGCAATTAATAACTTTTTGAGAAAGTGGCAACCATTCGGCTGCCGGTATAATGAAAGCATCTGAAATAGCAATTAGTATGTGCATGAGCTCTCTCCCAAAAAGCCCAAATTCCTGCAAACAACAATGGCACATAATTAGCGTATTAGTTTTCAATTTATGAAGCTCAAAAATCCATTAATTTAGCACATTTAAACAAATTGTGTTAATTTACGAATAATTAACGATCAATCGGTGTTTGAATTTCTCCTTTCTAAAAATTTTCAATTTTATCTACCTGTCTCTTATTTAAAAATTCAAAAACAAATTATTGATCTTTTTATCAAAAATTAGGTTTAATTTGAATTAAAGGAGCGATTTCCAGAGTATTTTCCCACTTTCGATGCAGTTTATGCCACAGCTGTCAATTTTTGGACTGTCAATTGTTCAGCCCTCTAGTATGGATGCCCTTGAGAATGAAAACTTCCATCTCTGTTATGGCCGATATTCTACTGAAGTTACCCATAATAACTGGAAATTATCGCTTTCTGATTGTCTAAACTAGTAGCCAAAGAGCTACTACAGTACTGGAAGATGAAAATCGTTTCGTCCAATCTTAATTATTTGACCAATAGCGTGTAAATAACTTCACTACGGCTAAGCGCCTGATATGTGGACTTGCAAACATTAAAACAAACTTATTAACTAATTAAGTTAAAGCAATTATAGCAATTTGCTATTTTGACTTTGTTCTCTGGCTTGACCATTTTATTAACTTCCTTATTTGGGCACGTTGCAACAATTATAACGCGGAAGCATATTTATTTTATTACTATTTACTTACTTATCTCTATTGAAGATATAAAGCATTATGTTAATAACTGCAGAGGTGGAGAGTGCGGATTAATAAAACATACTTGAAAGAGGTCAGTGGAAATTTGACTTCTTGGTCTTGTGTCGCGCAAATGGCTCATTCTCAATTATGATTTCAACTAAAAGTGAAAGAAAATTATTATTATAGTACAATTAGGCTGTTCTTGGCTAAAATATGAATATAATTCATCGGTTCGCCATTCTGGTTACATTATATTTCACTCAATCCATTCTTGGGTGTTTTATTTACCTTTTAATTTTTTAATAGTTTAAAGGTGATACGAAAATTATTTAAAAATAAAAGTTGCATCGTCATACTCAAGGCTTTCTTAGGTACAGTAAGTCTATGATCAACACTTTCTTCCAAAATTTTCAAGTGAAGGTCTTCTCAGGTTTGAGAATTGGTTCCAAGCTCACTTTTATCACGATGTCATGGTTCATTGGTGCTTATTGATTTTTTCACTTTAAATCTTCTCGTTCAAAATGCTAATGAGTAATGTTGAATTTTCCGCTAGACATTAGAAAGGTGAGTCATGAATGTGCTCACGAAATTAACATGTATTTAAGTGTCGCCATAGCAACAAAGAGGGCGTGCTTCACAAGGCAGTTAAGTTGACACCTTGACAAATTGAAAGTAATATGGCTTGACCGTTGTACAAGTCCTGCATCTCATTTTGGGGTTTAATATTACTGCACAAGGACTGTTTCAAGCCATTTGCACACACTATCACATGAATTATGCTGTGGAACTTGTGATGTAAACACGTTTAGCCAAGGTCATTCTCAAGGTTGTGTGAAATGTTATTTTATCTAATTTAAGCTAATATGATGATCAAAATTTTTTACCTAACTCTAAAAACTTACTGAAAATGTTTACTACTTAAACATTTTGACAAATTTTTAAGCTTCTAAGAATACAATAGAACCAAATAGGTCCTTTCCTTGGGTATCTATTTATAGAAAAATTAGAGGAAGTTAATATCAACTAATGGCTCTGTGTATCTAAATCTCTGACTGACTTGCCATTCAAATATTTCAAAAGTTTTCAATTAGGATGTACACTTTTTTAATTTGAATTGGTTTAAGAAATGCGAGGGTTAAGCTAATTAAATAAAGCTAACATCACCACTCTTTTAAAAAAACATGTGTATATCTCAAGAAGTGTTGTTTGGAAAGAGGGCCAAACAGTAGAAATTTATATCTATGAACAAAGAAATTACGGTTCACCATTTATCTACTGTCTAAAGCGTGCAATCCTTCAAATGGAATATGAGAAATTTCATTAACGAGAAAGACCTATAATTTGTACGAAGAAGCTCATAAACTATTGATTAACTTTAAAAATAACCTTGAAGATCGGAAGTAGGCAACCCTCTGATTAAAACATCTCCGTGTTGAAAGCTATGAAACACAGAGGCCCTGCTTTAGGTCCTGTGTTCAACTGTGCAAATTCGATGACTGTGTGTGTGCGTGTGCGTGTCATAAAGAACAGACATAATAATGTTAATTTATAACTGTCAAGTCCGTCTACAAAAAGTCCCACTTTCGATTACAATTTAACACTAAGGGGGTGTGAGACGAGGAGGAGGAGGAGGTGGTGGTTTGAAACAAAGTTTTAGGATTAGCAACTCCTGCTGCTAACTGAAGTTCCCAAAGAACTCATCTACTAATTTCAAAGCTTGAAGCAGCTACCATTTCCTCCCATTTTCACTGAACTATTAGTTCTAATTGATCTTTGACCAAAAGTTGAATAAGGGGTTAAATACAAGCGCTCTTCGAGAAACGCTGAAAATTGGAATAAGAAGTGATTACCTACTGATTTGTAGTGCATAGATTCATTTTTCCCCAAATATCATTACTTTATATATTTGCCATTCACTTAAGAAGCGCAATACGTAATCTTCAGATTTCGTGCAAAATAGTTGGCTTTGAAAACAGCCTCTTTAAGCCAAACTTTCCTGTTTAAGAGGTGGCCACGTATTTCAAACCTCAGTGAATAAACCAACAAGTAATTGGAACTCAATCCCCAAAATCAGCGCTGAAATCACTTTCCTTCACAATGTTTGAAAAATTATTGTAATATTGAAACAAAAATTATGTTCTCACATAAGCTCCATAAATGTGCTACAAGTATTTTACATGAACATCTCTTGTATGCACAGATTGAACGCAATATGGATGTTCGAGTGCGTTGGTCCTAGAACGTGGTTAACATTGAATTTTGGGTCACAGTACACTTTGTAAGTGCTCTGATCGTGCTAATGAATAAATGGACGGAAAAGCCCACTCTTTGACGCGCATGCTCACTCTAAACACCCTCCATCCAACTTCTTATTTAATCAATAAGACCTATATCATTAAGATAATGAAACAGGAATTTTGCTTACTCATTATACTAATAAAATTGAGTAAGAAAAATAGCGACATTACTGTTGGAGACGACTGAAAATTGGAAAATCGCATTCAAATCTAACCAAGTGTCTACAATGGGAAAGTTCATTTGAATTCAACGCTTGAATTGAATTAGCTCAGCACTTTTTAGACAAATGCCTAAGACGTGGTTGGGTAGAAGGGGATTCGCAGAGTGAGCAATTGTTTGAATCAACCCTTGAGGAGATAATGGAGTACGTTTTTAGTTTACCCCTTCAGCCCGTGTGAAATTGAGTAAAGTGCAGAAAACAACTTTTAGCGTTTGCTTACTTTACGAGTGGGAGGATGTAAGTTGCAGACTTCGATAATGACGTTAACATTTGTTTAAAATGAATTCGTATTCATTTTAATTCGCTAAAACCAATCAGAGTATTCGAGTTCTACATTCGGCAGTGCACAGCAAATAAGCATTTCAATCAACTACACTGATTAGTAATGACTAAATGAGATGTGATAGATTGCTAGATTCTCGTATGATGGACAGAATGACGCCCTTTTATTGTTCAAAATGTGCATTTTACTTTAATAAATTCGTTGACTTATTAGAAGGACATTTAAATGGGATCGAATCAATTTCAGTACACTCATTTAAAACAAAACACAAAACTCAACAAAGAAAAACTATAAGACCACTATTTTGTTTCTCATTTACCATAGAAAAATGAATAATTCTGCTATATGATTACAACTGTTATACAGATAAATAAACAGAACCAAAAAGAGCGGTTCAGTGTTAGACAAGCATGATTCATGTAAAACAGACAGTTTAGGAAGCACTTCAAACACGAAAACTAAAGCGTGGCTGTTTAAGTTGCCATTCGAAATTAGACACAAATTCTGGAACCTAAATTAGAACAAATCATCCCATGCAAGGTCGCCATTTAATCCTTCGATATAATACACCATCTACTTTCTCACCGATCCTCATCAAACTAATGAATTGAGATGGGTAGTTCCTCGCAGAGCCTTATTATTCACCACGAGGCTTGAGATAGCGGGTTGTGAGAAGAAGAGTTGCCAGGGTGAGTTTCTATACTTTGGAGAACAAATTGAGTTGGCCATGATTCACTGACTTACTATGAGTGAACAACGTCAATTTTCCAATTGATTTTTGTATTTAGGTCACTGCACCGGGCTTTGTGAGTTACCTGTCTAAGTGGCGAACTGAATTGTAAGGTCAATCTGACTCAAATTGGGCAAATAAACATCAGCGCCTTCGTGAAATGGTTTTTGGAAAATGGGTTAAACTTTTAAGGACAGAAGGTTTCGTTAAACATCGTTACCTCAAATCTATGATTCAATTTAAAAATGCAAAATTCAGCTCTGTCATGAAGCTATAAATCAAATTTTGGCTGTTCTAGTTAAAGAAATTGCTAATTACTTCCCTACCATTGTTGAAACTGAACCAATAGCACAATAAACCTCCTCTCAAAATTACTGATTTTTGGAGGTTAACAGCCGTCTTCCTGAATAACCGTCAAAAATGACTTCCATATTGAAAAGATTTTCTGGTTGGCCTGTTAAC